TTTTTTTTGTTTTTGTTTTTAATGTCTACTGTTGCTGTTATTGATGTTGTTGCTGTTATTGTCCTTGTTGTTGATCATGAGTACTTGTCAAAATCAAGGAAGATGATGATACGGATTTTGTAACGCTGGTAGCACATTCCACGGATAGAGGAAAAATAACGAAAATATGATACCACATCATCTTTTTCAGCGGCGTGGTTTAGATGACAAGAAAAAGCTCCCTTACTTTCCCTATCGTGATGACGGTGAACTTCTTTATCGTTCAATCTACAGCTTCGTTGATGAGTACATATCACAGTAAGTTAATTTCCTCTTCTGATGATAAGTATTTTATAAGATTATTGACAAAATTCAATTATTCTAATAGCTACTATCGAGGTGACCGTGATGTCCAAGCAGACAAAGAGCTTCAAGCTTTGGCCAATGAGATGTCAGTAAACGGGAAAGGTGAACATGGTGGAAATGGAAAGGTTGGTGTGAAGTTGGTTGACTTCAACATTTCAGAACTTTAACTGGCTTAACCCTATTTAAATTGTCAGCTCAGGGGATTTCCAGATAAAATCACTACCAGAGATCTTCTTAAGGACATCATGGCACGACTAATTTGGACATCCAGTGCCCAGCACAGTGCAGTTAACTACCCGATAGCGGCTTATGGTGCATTTTCACCAAGTATTCCCACCAAAATATACAATGATATCCGAGTACCCAACGACCAATTCAGTCTTTATCGACTCCCTAACGGAAATATATCTGCGGTAAGTGTATAAAATTCACAAGCTAGTCCCTACCTACACGAATATCGTTAATCATAAGATTCAAGTGGGGAGGAATCAAAGAATGGATTCATGACCACAAAGTCCGTTTTGTTGTTTTCAGATTCAAGCCGGTGTGGCCATGAGTCTTGGGTCACTACACTATGATGATCTGCTGGATTATGGACCACAATTATCAGACAAAGCGGGAAGCGAGATTGTTAAGAAACATTATCATTATCTTAGCACGCAAGTTAAGGTCAAAATGGATGCTCGAAACAAAGTCAGATTTCGATATGGCTACTTGACCTATCCATGGCTGACCCCTGGTTGGGTGCCCAATAGTATTTGTACGTGAATACAAAGTGATTTTCAGAGATGAAGTCAAAAGTGATTCAAATGAAATTGTAGATGGATGTATTCAAATAAAAGGAACAAACTTGAATACTAAATGTTGTCGATATATTGCAGTACTTCCTTCACATCAATTAAATTGAAAATTAAAGATTTGTTTTTTGTTTATCTCAGAATCAAGATTATCAACCTAGACAACTCCATCATTGCAACATTTTTACCCTAAAGATACCCGCTTATGGCTAAATCTCGGGCAAATCAGTTAGTAAAGATTAGATTTGTCTAGGTGGATTTTCTTAATTCAATAATAATAATAATATTGAGAATGAAACAAATTTTCAATTGAATTCATTTTTTGCGAACCGAAGCAAATTCGTTTGGTTTTAGTAAATTTTAAAATGTGTTTTATGCTGGCAGAGCTAATTGTAATGACAATCAGAAATTATCGTAACCACGCTTGGTAACAGTGTTTACAGTACATTCAACAAAATAATACTTTTTCATTGGTCGAGAGGAGTACAATACAGCGTTAATTGGACTCCTTATCAAACTTTGTTTCGCTGAATGTACTACAAAAAAAAAGCACGACATTGAGTACAATTTGATATATATCTCGAAATATTTGAAAGTTCTCAAATTGCACTCGATCCCCCTATCGATCGGGCAAATGGTTGTACTTTTAAAAGGTCGTGCGATTTCCTATACTAATTACCTTTATTGTAATTAACGCTGTTATCCAGCGTGGTTACGTTAACTTTTTGTAACCTACGTCCAAACAGGTTAACTTCAGGTTAGCAAGTGACGTTTTGAGACAATTTCGAGTCCTGATCCCAAACCCAGACTGTGAACCATTTTTAAAGAAAGAAGCGACTGTTGTTTTATGAGGGTTACTGATAGTTTTATGTACTATGTTAAATAGCTAAGACATGAAACTAATAGGTGAGCTCATTAATACTGACAAGATTTGCGAGCATTGATCACTAAGAGATAAGACTAACGAGGTCAATTTCTTTGATTGTCTATGTCGTTTTCTTTTTTTGGCGAGAGATCATTAGTTTTGACTGACGAACAAAAACTTGATGAATCTACTAATATTTGGCTAACTACTATTAGCAAACATGGTCGTATTACGTGCAATTCTTGTATCTTCCTTATTATTTATCATTCTAATTTCTGGATGGCTATGCATTTGGTTTCTTGTCTTCAACGGAGGCAAAAGGTATTTATCATTATTTCTCAAAAAAAGAAACAGTTATAACAGGAAATTAAAGTGTGAAATATTTTCCAAATATACTTTCGTATTCGGCTGACATTCGCATCGAGTTTTACGACTAAGAGCATTGTATCAATACAACCTTTCAATTTTTTAATGCAGTGACGTCCATTTGACACCGGTACCCGACACTAAACCACACACCAAAACCACTGAAAACATTCCAACAACACAGCAAGCAAATGATATCACTGAAATACCAACCACATTAATTCAAAATGTATGTGGTTATGACGAGGTGCAAGGTACATACAAATGTTGTCCTGGATGGAGTGGTTATAGAGAAGGTCTAGGATGTCTTGAAGGTAAATATGTGTGTTAACCAAATTGCACCTTTCCAATGCTCTAAATCACTCAAGACCTTTAAGAGCAAGGTGGAAATCAAGTGGAAATCAAGTCTCACAGTGCTCTTAATATTTTCTGTAGCAATTCCTTGCACAGTTGAGATCCCACAGAAAATCCGCACCCACTGTAAAGATAAAAGAGAAAGAGAACTGTCTGCCATTAAAGGCATCAATAAACTTGGCTCAGTAGCTGGTCTACCGTTTGTTTTTACTGATATWAGCATGAAGAAAGCGATTCAAAAGCATTTGACCGACCCCTTCACAAAGACCTGGTTGCAACTTTATATGTATTCGGCACGATTCAGTACAAAGTTGAGAGAAGTAAGCTTTCCTTATACGCACAAAAAGGAATTCGYATCAATTCAAGACTATGAAGACGTTTATTACTATTTTCTCAATAGATACAAACAGAATTCCAAGGTAAGTAAAGAAAAAACCTCGTAAGGATTGCACAAATAAAATGCACTGTCGCTAAATCCATAAATAATAGCGCCTACTGCATCAACGATCACTTAGTGAGCATCAATCAGTTTGCTTGTTCTTTATATTTCATTCAGTTACCATCCCAGTATTTTCGCTATCCATTTGACTCTATGCCCCTGARAAGCGTCGTCAATAACATTACTTGGCGAGAAGACAGTACATTTACTCAGATGCGCCTGGCTGGAATTAATCCAATGTGTATCCAACGTGTCACCAATGAACAAGGTATTTAGAGTCCATCTGTAAATGGACTATTTATAGATACTCGTCAAGAGGAAAAGCCAATTTTAATGAGTTGGTTTACCATTTAAAAAGTGTGTTCTTCGGCTGTACAATGTTCATCTCTCATTCATATCGACATTCAGTAAGAAATTAATAGGGCTAACTGGCATGTTTAATGGCGGTAAAAAAATATCATCAAGAGCCTTTTTGTAATGGCATAGATAGTTCCTATAGCTTAATGCAAACACTAAAAGAGTGCAACACTTTGCACTAATTACTACAAAATACTGCTAATTAAACAATAGAAAACAGAATTAGCATAATTCAACAGTATTTAGTGGTATTTATGTTGCAAAGTTTTTGTGTCTGCACTCTATAACCATTGTAGAATATTATCAACCTTCTCAGCTTTTCTATAGGCATTGGCATTACGTGGCTAGAGTTGACAAGCCGTCTTAATCGGAAATTCGAGTGGAAGAACGCAATTCAAAAAGCTTTTGGAAGATTAACCTCCTTAGAGATGGTAAGAAATCAAGTACAGTTATCAGCAACCTAATAACGACTAGATCACTAGTCAGATTGATGGTGTAAAAAAGGAAAATAATACGCGATTCACAATTAAGTGCAACCCAATGATTCCTTTTCTCAGTATAAGAAAGGTAGGTCGCGCTTATTCAAATCAAGTGTCAGAACACATGTCTAATGTAATACCTTACAAATATTGCATATAATCCTGATCTATTACATTGTATTTATACGCAGATGATCAGCGATGGTTCATTGTTTGTGTGCCATTATCCATTGTTTGATAACCTGGTCAATRTRCCTGACATCACTGAACCAARACCTTCACGTAAAATGTGGCCATCGATGTCACCTATTGCTGTTTTTGTATCACGAGAAGGAGAGTTGGTTCCAGCAGCCATACAAATGGACTACACACAAGGTAGTCAAAGACACCAACCTACACATAACCATTCGCAGAAAATGATTTTCCAAACTAGTTAACATTTGAAATATGTGTTTCTAGATTCACCAGTCTACACCCCAGAAGACGGTGGTTTATGGACATTAGCCAAAGAAGCATTCCAAGTGACAGACTTTGCATATGCCCAGATGATTGAACATCTTCTAAAGACACATTTTATGATGGAACCATTTTGCACAACAATACACCGGCATCTTTCGACTCTGCATCCTCTACACCAAATCATGAAGTTCCACTGCAGGTAAGGAGACTATGCCAAACGTTTTTATGAAACTCTACCATCAAATAAAACACCTTTTATCATTTTCCCAGGTGTTTTGGAATGTTTTTTTTTTCCAATACAAAAGTCACTTTCATAAGATTTTCTCGATTGCATTCAAACACATTTTCTATCAAAAGCAATTGCCCTATTGCATTATGTCTGCACATCAAAACATTCTATTGTTTTAACGGCAGAGAAGATCATACTAACTATGAGGGGATCAAAGTGACTAGCCTCCATAGAACGCATTCCACTGAAGAGAGAAACGAACCGCTTGGAACGTTTGCTACGGAGGCTACAAAGTGACTGCATATCAAATAAAATGTACAGCATCTTTCTTTGATGTATGACATACATCAAAACACATGAACAATTAAGTTCTACTTTCGTAGAGAATGTAAAGAGGCCCAAAATTCCCATTGTTTTTGAGCATCTTTCCTCGATGTAGACATACTGTGACGTCATAATGAAATAGGGCTATTTCGTGACTTGCTTTTTATTGATGGCAGGGGTATCGTGCCGGTTAACAAGTTTGGACTTCTTACACTTTCCGATGGACATGGCTTCATGCAACAATTGTTTGCTATTGGCAATAATGGATCACTTCAGCTACTACTGAGGGGACACCAAGCGATGATCTGGAAAGACACAGACTTTATGAATAATATTAAGGTAAGCATCACAAGGCAGTTCGAGTTGACAGTTTTGAGAAGTTGGCCTAAAACTGACATGTACTTTAACTTCAGCGCCGTGGTTTAGATGACAAGAAAAAGCTCCCTTACTTTCCCTATCGTGATGACGGTGAACTTCTTTAT